TTTAAACTTTTATATTGAATGATGCACAAAATATGTATACATACGCACATAATTTCTAGGTATATAAAAATTCGACAGATAGGATGAAGTATGGAAAATTTTAACATTTAAGTAAAATTATAGTATGCAATAATTTAGATTTTAGATCTTTCAAAGCGCATACAGTAAAAGTTAATTAAATTTCATTGTACAAATAATTGATATGAAATTAGTATATAACATAAAAAAATGTTTTGGATTAAAGTTAACAACAAATTAAATTATACATAATGCATTTCATTAACACAATTTTCCAAATGACGTTTTGTTTGTTTGTTTATTTATTTATATTTTTTCGTTTCAATTTAAAAGTATGAAAGATTGAAAAGATTTTATTCGTCTACAGAGATTAAACGAGAAAGAAAACTTTAAGCAAAGTTTTTATCTCTTTTGGTGGTATGACATGCTAGCTGAATGATAAAATATAGTCACAACAATATTTAAATGGGTCCAAGTACGCCTAAGATAAAATCGTGTTTTTTTTTATTATTCGTGTCATGTAGTGGAATATTTTATTCAAGTGTACAAAGTAAAAGTAAATGTGGAAGATAATACATGTATTTATTTAGTATTAAAAAAAAAAAATGATTTTTCGAACATACATATTTTTGTTGAAAGCCTGACAGTACGTCTTTTCAGTGAAGTGTGATGTTGAGATGCAGGATTCGACGTTAACTAAACGCTTATCTTCAGATTATGGCTCTGTCCGTAAAAACTCCGTTTGTTCGATCACGTGATGATTTATGAGTACGAGGAAAATATGAGATGGCCATCTCTGTTGCCCTCCAAATGAATAAATGAATAATCACGGGATTAAAATCTGAGATTGTAATGTTTTTTGATCGGACGATAGCTTCCGATGACCTTATACAAAAATTGTGAAAAAATTTAACATCTGTGTGAATATTCTGTAACTTTTTTATATTTTTTAATATTCGATAAAATTTTTGAGTCCATTTGTTTTGGTTAAACACACTTTACTTGTGCGAAAACCACCTTAAATTCCTTGTTTTGAAAACTACGTAGTAACCAGTACATTTAAAATATGTAAACAAAGTAGGTACTGTGTGTTGATTATGGTCGTATTAGAAAGGTCGGTATGAAATTTAGTTTCAGTTTTTTGAAATCATACGAATAATACATCTTAATAGATCATCAATCTAAACAAAAATGTTTAGGTGGTATACACAACCGATGTAAAAGTCACGACAAGTGAATTAACCCGGGACAGTGTACGATAAATAGAATTATCTGTTGAAGTTACCAGTATACTTGCGTTGTAATTGCTCAATAGTTACAAAACTTGCGAACAAAGAGATAACTATTATGAAATAACTATAAACTATTTCCATTTAAAATTGTAGTAATGACATCAAGTTGTTTTTGAGAATAAAGTATGATTCTACCTTAATCAATGGAAAAGCTATGACCACGCTTTGCACTGTATCAAGTTGAACATCCAAAAAAAAAGGATGTAGTTGTCCCGTATTAAATACAGATTAAATATTATTTGCACTGATGGTAAAATCACTGGTTCAGTTACCCTTTTAGGGCAAACAACGAATGACAATTATATCGTATAATTACATCGTATCACAGTTACCACCACTGCACTTGGCACATGATTGATTTTTATTGGAGATGACAAAGTGGCTGGCCCGACTTCTCTCGTACTGTGCTGTGCTGTTGTTTGCCGTGTATTATATATTTAAAACCGGTTGGCTTGCAGTTGTGGCTCAGAAAATATCTCTCGAGGGGGAGAGGGCAGTTAGTGGAGGATTTTACATTTTTATCATTTGTGCGGGAAGTGTAGTATAATATACTTTAGAAATTGAAAAGATAAGAATTCGTGCGTAGAAAAAAAAATTTTACTCGAAAAAATAAGCAAGCAATTGGTGCTCTTCTTTTAAATCACATATAACAGTAATATTACTATAATAACTTGATCAATTTTGATTTAGTTTATTTAAAGATCTCATCGCATACATTTCATTACTTTTTGATTAATCTATAGGAGAAAAAATAATAAAAATTGACAAAATACTTTTATTATGACACTTATACAATTCAAGTAATCTAATTTATTGCTATTAAGCTATATATGACAGGTATAAGACTTTTAAAAAAATATATTTTTCATGAACAAGATAACTTGTTTTTCTGCAAATGAATGTTCATGCATATTAGCTCAGTAGATTTTTTCTTACCTAAGTAAGCAGCATTATCAGATAAGCTTTTGTCTTAATACATAATCTTAGACTGAAAAACTTAAATATTTTTAATACTTGAAAATTGTCTTATATCAATAGTGGATCAGATTAAATATATTATTCTATATATTGAAACGGGGCCTGTAAAGCCGATCTCATTTGTTCGGAAACACCTGGATCTGAACTTTGATTATGCGTTGACTTCAACAGCGTATTCCACAACTGAAAATTCTGAAAATATAACGTTAATTCCTCGTCTACAAATGGCAACGACTCAAAATGTATTATAAAACTGTATTAAGTCTGCAAATCAATTATTAGTATAACAAATATTACTGATCAAATCATAAAATTCTAAGAGTAATAAAAAATATTTTTTACAATTTTTGTTCAAGTATTCTTCAATTTATTGTCTTATCTACGTGACCACATTGTATCATTTATCGCCGTATAAAACAGGGGTAAGTACCCGAAGGCAGGCCGCAAATTAGTGTTTCACTATTGTCTAAGTCTTAAAATACACATAATTATCTGAATGTAACTTCATACCTGGAAATGTTTTAAACGATCAATTCGGAAGTGGGTCACTTTTTGTATGCGGCGTGATTTGGGGTACGCGCGTGGTTTAATTAAAAAACTTGTATTGGTATTGCTAACAGGAGGCTTTACTGTAACTTTGGTCAGTTTGAAGACATCAGGATTCGAATCTTCTTTATGCGTCGACCTACATAGCTTATTCCATAGCTTGCAATGCTACGAAAAAAAAAAAATAAATAAAAAATAATAATAATAATTTTTTCTTTTAAAAATAACTATGACCCAGAGTTCTTTCGAAAACTCTATCTAGTTTTAGCCCAAACTCTGGACAATATTTTGGGGAAATTGATACGATAATAAAATATTTCTTTCATGTGAACTACTTGATGGTTCAGAAAGAACCTTCGATTCTATTTTGACACTGGTAATATATAGTTATATCTATCAGGCTCACATTGACAGTGAATATTAAAATAATATTAACATTTTTCAATAAATTTTTCAGGAACTGTATGCACTAAAAAAAAATGTTACAACTGAATCCACAAATTTTTTAGTTCGTTTCATAATCTTACAAAGAACTTCCATAGTAATTATTAGAAAGTCATAGATGTTCCTAATAGCATAAAATGCATAGTGTCTCACTTTTATCTAGATTTAATCATACACATGGTCATGTGAGTAAATCTTTGTACCTGCGAATGTTGAGGATTACCTTTGCGAAAGGGATGTACTTTGCGTCTTCGCCTTGGATTAATATAGGCACGTGGTTGACGCACATGATTTTTACGGTTTTTGTGGTAACATCCATAAAGAAGTTTTTCAAGCAATAGTAGAATAAAACATACAATGAATCCACAAAACAAAATGGCATACAGAGGAATTACATCTTCTATGCCAGTGAAATGAAATGCATTTTTTTCATCAGGAATTTCGGTCTTGTAGTTAGTCCTTATTCTTTGCATAATACCAGTTTCTATAAATCTGTAAATACTAAATAAACTTTGTTAGGATACAAATACAACAGTGTTATCTATGTTAGGATACAACATATAGTAGTATAGCTACTACAGCACAACGTAGGTTATACTTATACTTACGTAAAACGGTGGCCCATGGCAGGGGGGGAGGCCTTCCGTAAGCAGGAATCATAAGTTCCCGCTTATCTTCGTTGAATTGAGTCTATAAGTTCACTCCTTTTCTGAAATTGTCGTAGGCGGGAATGCTTCGCGCATCACAGATTCCTGAATCTATGGCACCTTTTCGTCGAATGTTAATTCAACATTTACGTCACGGTTGAACGTAATCTTGCAGTGGCGACAAAAAGTATATCTGTGAGGAGAGTTACTCACGAGACATTTGTAATTGCAGCGAGAACATAGCATCGTTGTTCTGTGCTCGTTCGTCGAGTACACTCGCAGTGACTGACTGTGCATCTTTTCTTCATCTTGAAGTCTTTTGTAGATGAGTCCCAATGGTGATCGCACGTACTTTCGTACAACTTTGGACATCCTTGTAGCACCAATTGCAAAAAAAGTCACGGTTTTCGACTTGGCGTTTTTTCCTTGACAGTCGCGACAGTAAACCAAGTCGTTTATCAATGTATCTACTGCGGAACGTTGTTGTATGTGACAATCGAGTTTCAATCAACTTATGGATCGGGATGCCATTATCGGTTGCCTTTCTTCGAACGTTAATAGTCGAAATTTCGTGTTTCTCACATAGTCATTTCCGTTTTTTAAATTTATAGACGGAAACTCGTTTTTTATTAAATTTTTTTGCCAGTTTAAATATCTGTCGAGTCTTACGTCCAATTTCATCTTTCTAGCGGGATGACCAGATAAAAACCTAAATCTTTTCGATTCCAATATGACTCTCTCCGCAGAATCCTTGCCCCCATTCATTGACTTGACAGATAGATATTCCTAATGTTGCTCGGTAACCAGGATCTGAAAAAAAATGCATGTAATTTTTAAATCGTAATTTTGCTAAAATATATGCATACAATACTATACGTACCTAATCCGATCCATCTCATATACGTCATGTTATCACAAACCTTTTTCTTGTCGACGTCGTCACTACGAGATCTGTCTTTTTGAAATGAATTGAACAGTCGGTGCTATTGTTGGTTACATAATAACAAAAACAACCTTTGTTAACTAATCTCATATTTTTTTCCATATTAAAAATCCTGGACAACATGTTACGAACTGTATCTTCATCTTTCGAATAGTGATTGACAGAATGAACATATTCCTTTTGATATACTCTTTTACAAAATTCAAGTACACTTTTTTGAGAAAAGGTAATATATTTCAGACCGCAATTATATATTGGTGAAACGACGAAACCTTTCTGTTCGAGGGCAAGACACTTTTGAAGTCTTACCATAAGGGGTAAAAATTTGTACCACGTGCTTTCGAATTTTCAAAAATCGAAGTGTTCCTTTTCTTGATCCAACAGTATCTGTAGAGCAGGAAATTCGCTATAGTCGTTGTTGTTGAACAAATTATTTATTATTCGCTGTTTCCTTTCATATTCCTCCTTTCTTATCCTCTTTTTATTTGCTGTCAGTGTTTCTTTGCATTTAAACAATTGCTTTTTTTGCTTCTTCTTTTCGTTGCTTTTCGATCTTTCCTTATGTTTAATAGTTTCTCGTTTTTTTGTCCTTTTCCTTGTACTCCAAAAAATTGGTTTATTCTTTACCGGTTGTTCTCGAATCATGCCATTTCTTTTTTCTTATTTTCTTTTACTCGTTTTTTTTTAGTTTTTTTTTCCATAATTTTTTTTTTCCCCACTTTTTTCGCCTGTTCCAATAGTTTATTCTCCTCGACATGATTCTCATTTCCTTGTCTTCGTCACTTTCCTTTTATGCCC